GTGGCCAGGCAGGGAGGGTACATTCCGTACTTTCACCCACTATTTGCTGGGGCTGAATTTTTAAGTTCCTTTGCCCTCTGCCCTCCTTAAGGGGACCCATGTATACCTGAGGGGTTCTCCAGAACAAGTCGTTCCTGCCATTTTTTTGGCTGGTACCTCTTTTCCCTATGCTTTTATTGTGATGTGACATGGCTGCAGATAAATAAATAATAATTATTTTTTCTGCTCTATTTGGTGGGAGTAATAAGCTCACACACAAGCATGGAGATCTCACTGAGAGAAGCAAGGTCCTTGTATATTCATGTTGACAAGCAGAAAGAATTGTTACTTCTCTTTTTTTTTTTTTTTTTTTACGGTACGCGGGCCTCTCACTGTTGTGGCCTCTCCTGTTGCGGAGCACAGGCTCCGGACGCGCAGGCTCAGTGGCCATGGCTCACGGGCCCAGCCGCTCCGCGGCATGTGGGATCTTCCCGGACCGGGGCACGAACCCGTGTCCCCTGCATCGGCAGGCGGACTCTCAACCACTGCGCCACCAGGGAAGCCCACTTTTCTTCTTATTTTTGCAAATTGTCATCTTGTGAACAATACTCAGAGTTCTTTGAGCAAGCGTTGTCCTTGGGATGGACAACTTTTCCTCCCCTTTCCCCGAAAAGCCTTCTCAGCCTGACCTTCGGCCCTGCCTTCTCCTGGCCGGGGTGGGCACCTGCAGTCCCTGCCCCTCACCAGGCCCGGCTGGGTCTTCTTGGTCATCATCACCCTTTCATCTTCACCTTCCTCCTCAGGAGGACTGAAATTCCAGTATCCATTCCCAATGTGGACTGCCCTTCAAGGTGCTGCTACAAGTTCTGACCCCTCTTCACACATTCTAAAGACCCCACGTGTATGTCTGAATGCAAGCAGCTCTTGCTTCTCTCAGGGCTGTTCCCCCATGACTCACAATTACCCTCCGAGAACGAGCCCATTCACTCCCATACTCAGGAAAAAGGAGACCTTGCTCCATTTTAGGCTGAGACAGTGAGACTTTGGGATCACGGCCTCAGAGAAGCCTGGAGATGGAAGGGGCCTCAACAATGATCCGAGCCAGCGCTGCCCAAGGTGCATCTGCAAACCACCCAACCCCCTGGTGGTGGTGAAGCCATAGCCAGCCTTTAACCTGCCCTTGCGTATTCTCTGACAGCGTGGTTCTCCGGGGACCTCCCCCTTGGGGCTTTGCTCAGGGACCTCTGCTTGGGAATCACTAATGGAATCTCATGAACTACTTAATAAGTAAAGGCACTGGCTCAGAGAGGGAAAGTGACTTCCCTGAGGTCACACAGCTCGTTGGTGGCAGAGCCCAAGCTTCCCTCTGGAGCGTCTCACTCCAAGGCTACTTGAGGCACCTGATAGCCTACCTGTGATGACACAGGGTGGACTCTGAACTCCTGGGAGGCGGTCCTGTGTGTTATTCCTGTTTCTATTCTCCCCTCGTTACTGCCAGGCTCACAGCAAAGGCTCAAACTTTGTCACAGTCACAGAGCCCCCTGATTTCTGTCTGGATCGGTGGCACTACCCTCTACTCACCCCCACCCCCTTCCCAGCATTTCTCAGCTTTGTCATTTCTCGCCTTTATCTCTGTGTGTACCCCACTCTCTTGGTTTAGACCCCGTCATCTCTCACCTGGGTGACTGCCTTCAATCACCTCCTAACTAGATCTTGTTTCCTAACCTTTCTTGTTTCCTTCAAATCCTACTCTCACATGTTAGCCAGAGAGGCGGCCCCCCAATGCAGGTGTGAACGTGCTGCATCTCTACCCCGGTTTCAAGCCCAGCCTGCTTCCCCCGCAATAAAATCATTGGCAACAGTATGTGCCCTGAGGTCACAGGCTTAATCATTCAGTTACCATCATCCCGAAACAAAAACAACCCAGAACAAGCCCAAGTCCTGACAAGATGTCAGCAGCATCGACCTGTTCTCGTCCTTCTGAATTGCGCCGTTCGGCAGGGAGAAGTAGATACGATATGATTTAGAACATACAGGTTCTTCGTGGGAGGGAACGGGACACTCTTAACACAGATTTCATTGGTTTCAAGTGTTTAGTAAAGTGGTGGGGACAGTAGAGATGGTGCAGGGCAATTAGTAATGTGAAAAGAAATGATATTTTATTTTAGTTTTTGTTGGAAAGACTAGATTTTTATCTTGGATTAATAAAAATATGTTATTAATACTGAGAGAAAAATATTATCACATCATTAGCTTTTCACGTAGCTCATTTAAAATAGTAAGATGTTACCTGTAATTTATATTAATGTGTAGCACTGATGACGTGTCCTACTGTGAAAACACTTATGCTATTTAATAAATGAATCTAAAGAACAGATTAAGGCTGTTGTTAAAGGACAAGAAATGATATTTTAACTCGGGGCTCCAAATACACAAATCCCCAACCTGCTGGGATGGGCTTGTAAAAGGGGCTGTGATGAGCGGGCACTTGCTCCAGTCAGAATCCCAGCAGAAAGCAGACAGCGCAACTCCAGGGCATAGCAAAGGCGGGCAGGACCAGGGAAGCCAGCTGGGGTTCCCAGGGCCACCGTGGGAGCCCCCCTCCCTGTGTCTGAAGGGGCAAGGAAGGAGGTGGGAGGTGCCACCCAGGAGCTAAGCCTTCAGCCCAATGGTGAAGCCAAATCGCAGCGATGATCTGGTAGGGAGGGGTCCCCAGAGCAAATACCCTCCCCTCCCCGCTCCTTGCAGCACCTTGCGTTAGCTACACCCGATGGGGGTCAGAGAGCGTGGGCCAGGATGATGTGACTCATAAGAGCACCTCATGGGCAGGCACTGGGCAGGGGGCAGGGTGGGTCTGGAGTGCACATGCAAAATGTAGAGCTCAACACTCCTGGCCAAAGCACAGTTTAGGATTTCAACGTCCCCTCCGCACCCCAGGGCAGGCTCCTGGATTGTTGCGTGTACCAGGTGCTGTCTCGGTGAGGACCCCTGCCCATCCAGGCAGAGCTAAGGTCTGAAGAGAGGTGTGGTGCTCTCTGGGCTCATGCCTCCTGGGGCCTCACCCTGATCGGTGCCCCAGATATTAGGAAAACCAAGGAAAAGAAGAAGCAGGAGCCGGTTTCTCCCTAAAGCCTTCTGCAACTTGTTTACACTACCAGTGAGAGACAGTGGGAGTGCACCCACATCACAGGGGAATAGAGGGACGGTCACCCCCTTAGAGGTTCCAGTCTCTGATCTGTCCCTTCCTCATATTAAAGCTCCACTCGCAAGCACCAACGTCCCAGGCACGTTCCCTTTTGGTGTCCTTCCTGGATGTGTGAGCATGTGTTTGTGCACGTGTGTGTTTGTGCCTTGTGTGTGCAGTGGTACGCGTGTGTGCATGCACTCACATGTGTTGGGAAGGAGTCTGTCTAGTGGGGGGAGGGGAGCCCTGAACATTCCTTAGGAGTCAAGACTAACGTTGTGGAGGGCACATCTGACAAGCTAGAATTAGCACGATGCAGTGAACAGTTAAGCTGTGGTCAGGGATATCATTTTCAGCAAATATGACAACGGGATTATACACATGTTATGTGAAGGAGACTTACAAAATGACCAAAAAGGTATAAAGAAATGAGGAGATATTGCCCAAGGACCTGACTAGACAAGGGCCCACATGTAAAAAGGTCTACAAAGAAAACCCAAACCCTACAGAGAAGACTTGGTTCTGAGCAGTAAAGAAAGGTTGGGGGGAAGGGGAAGCTGGGACGAACTGAGAGAGTGGCATGGACATATATACACTACCAAATGTAAAATAGATAGCTAGTGGGAAGCAGCCGCATAGCACAGGGAGGTCAGCTCGGTGCTCTGTGACCACATAGAGGGGTGGGATAGGGAGGGTGGGAGGGAGACACAAGAGGGAAGGGATAGGGGGATATGTGTATACGTATAGCTGATTCACCTTGTTATACAGCAGAAACTAACACACCACTGTAAAGCAATTATATTCCAATAAAGATGTTAAAAAACAAACATAAAAGGATGGACGAGCAGGCAGTGGAGAATGACCAGGGTGCACTTACTAAATTGGAGATTTAAATATGAATATTAACCACCCATAATGTTCAGGGTGTGATGTGACACACAGTCACTATCAGGAGGAATAGAAATCATTTCAGAAAACAATTTGGAAAATTTGTTATCCTTGTCCCAGTAATACAGCTCCTAAGAATTTATCCTAAGGACAGAACCCTGAATAAGAAAAAAGCATATGGATGCTAATATAGACACTAATTATAGCATTACTGATAGTAGTGAAAATGTAAACACATAGCCCCCTCTTGTAGGCATTTGGTTTAAGTATTTTGTCATTAATCACCTCAACAGGTGATTGAAATTAAGAAGACATGTAGCAATATGGAAAGTCCTTTAGGCATATTAACTCAACAAACAGAACACAAACTTATCACCTACCACACGGTTATAAGTAGAGGAAATTGACACATGCAAATAGACTAGCTTGGAGAAAAGTGGAGAAATGAAAAGAGGTGCTGGGTCGGGATGGTGGTGCCACGGTTTAATTTTTCTCTTTTTAAATTTTTTGTATTGTACTTTAATTGCTGCCTATGTAACATACTGTGTGTATATATATGTGTGTGTATGTGTATATATATAGACACATAGTATATATCATAGTATAGATCTATATATCATAGTATATATATACATATTTACTGTGTATATATTTACATAGTATATATATATATTTACTATGTACTGTATAGTAGTAAATATGTGTATATGTATATACTATGATATATATATATATATACTAATACATATACTATGTATATATATACAGATATATACTAGGTACATGTATATATACAGTATATGCAGCATGTGCATATGTATATAAATAAGAATCATACAGCTGGGCACGTATCATTCGCCTTTTTCAACCATTTGCCCTTCCACCCCCGAATGTTCCCCACCCCAACCCTGTGCACACGATGGGGAAGCAGCGGATTCATCGCAGTTACCTAGGAGGACCCCGGGGGGCAGCTGGGCCGAGGGGTCCTTCATCCAGTCGTCGTTGGCCAGTTCTATCACGGCGTCCACGTGCCGAACTTCAGTACAGATCAAATCCCTCACTGTCGCCTCATCCCTGGCTTCCAGGGCTGACTTCAATCTATTTACGAAATCCGACTTGACCGGGTAATCGGGAAGGCAATCAGAGATGGACATTGTGATGTCGTTTGTGTGTTGACAAAACTGCTCTGCTTCCCAACTGAGTCCAAAGTCAGCAGCTGGGCGGAGAGGGCTGCGGGCATGTCTATAAATAGAAGAAACGTGGCTCCAGTTACAGCCCTGGGAACGGCCACCCGCCAGCAGTCCTCCCCACCCCATTCCTCAGAGGGAGATGGGAATTAATCTCCCCAAGGCCTCACTTAAGGATCATTCTAGAGAGGGGGGCAGTAGACCTGTCTGTGAGTGGGAGAAGCCGAGGGGACAGCGTTTCTTAAAAAAAATCTCTTGTCGGTACTGCCGATCAACATCTTCTTTTATCAAAGTGAGACTCTGTCCTGAAACCTTAAAATCCTTTTCCCAAGCCTGGGCTTGCAACCTTTTTTCTGTTGAAAGGAACATACTGTAACGTTCTACACCACGTATTCCTTCACTTCATCTAAAAAGAGAGTCTGGTTGACTATAAATTGGACATGCCTTGAAATTGAAAATGCAGGGAAATCTTTGGTTTCCAAATTCAGGATGGACTGGCTGGTCTCGAGAAGACAAAAGCATCACATAAGTGAACCCAGAAAGTAACCGAAGTATTAGCAGCAGCCTCTGTACTTCTTAAGGCTGCTAACTTTGGCTTAAAGCACCCAATTCCGTGCCCCGTGGAAGTGCAAAGCGCTCATGTTGGTTTCTATGCATTCCTGCGGGGTAGTGGACTTTTTTTCCATAACCTCTGTCTCTAGTGGTCCTGTATCTCCCCACCTGAACCTGGGCACAAAACACAGCTGCTCCAGCAGCGCCTGTATGCTGTAATGACCTGAGGGGCCCAGGCTATGCCATTTAGCTTAAAAATTAATTTTTGGATATATTAAAATTGAAATACATTGAACATATAACATACATGTAAGTTTGAGGTGTACATCATGTTGATTTGATGCATTTATATATTGTAACATGATTGCTATTGTTAGCTAACACCTGTATCATGTTGCAGAACTATGACTTCTTTTTTTGTGGTGGGGATAATTAAGTTTTCTTCATGTCTTAGAAAGTTTGATGTTCATAATACAATATTGTTGTCTATAGACACTATACAGTGCATTAGATCTCCAGGACTTACTTACCTGCTGGTTGCAAGTTTGTGCCCTTCAATGACATCTCTCCTCTTTCCTCACATAGATTTATTTTTTTAAAGTTTAAAATTTGAAAAATTAAAAATAAGTTTTAAATTGAAGTATAGTTGATTTATAGTGTTGTGTTATATTCTGGTGTACAGCAAGGTGATTCAGTTATACATATATATGTATATATATCACATAGCTTTTATCGAGCCCTCTTCACCTTGTGTCCCAGTCTTGCTACCTCTTCCCTTTCTTACTTTGTCTTGTCTCCCTGTGTGATGGTTAATTTTATGTGTGAATCTGGCTGGGCCACACTGCCCGGATACCTGGTCAAACATATACTGGATGCTCCTGTGAAGTTCTTTTTGTTTTTTTTTGTTTTTTTTAAATGAGATGATGATGTTTAATTTGGTGGACTTTGAGGAAAGCCGATGACCCTCCATAATGTGGGTGGGCCTCATCCAATCAGTTGAAGGCCTTCATAGAACAAAGACTGATGTCCCCCAAGCAAGATGGAATACTGCCAGCAGACGGCCTTTGAATTAGAACTGCAATTCTTCCTGGGTCTCCAGCCTGCTGGCCTACATGCAGGTTTTGGACTTGCTGGTTGCGACAATTGCGTGAGTTGATTTCTTAAAATAAATCATATATACCTTTATTTTAAGAATATATATATATGCACACACATCCTCTTGGTTCTGTTTCTCTGGAGAACACTGAATAATACACCCCTCTCCTCTCAGCTCCTCTGCATGATTTTGCAGCTTCTGTTCCATACACTGATGCTTTTCCCAACATGTCTGCATCTGCATTTGAGGAGCCAGCCCTGAAGTTACTACTTAATATTTGTACTCCTTCCTCCTACCTAAGAGACCCTGGGTTTTCTTTGTTGTGACAATGTGCCTGGCCCCTGGTGATGAATCATGTTTATCTAAGTCAGTAACTTCCGCCCTAGTCTCCTTGTTAGCTACTCTACGAATTAGCCTCCCTTGCAACCCAGTTCTGGCCAGTGAGGACAGGCATGGTCTGCTCTGGTGCATCTGGGAAGTTCTTTGCTCTCCTGATTGAAAGGGGAAGTAGCGGTTGGCACTTCTTTCCTTTCCCTTTCTTCTTTCCTTGAACATGGACATAATGTGTGGAGCTGTGGCAGCCAACTTACAGCCATGAGGTGATGGACATGAAATGAAGGCTCGACATACTCAGGTGAGTGGGACAGAAAGAGTGGACGAGACCGATGGTTCCCTGATGACATTTCTGAACGTCTGCCCCAGCTCCAGGCCGCCAACTGCCAGACTTCTTGTCTTTATTCCTTAAGTACTATTCATGTGTTTTCTGTGACTTGCAGCTAAAAGTATTCCTGGTTGATGCAGGTGTGTTCACTCTGCCTTTAAAACCATGGACACATTCCGGTTTCAGTCTAAAGAGATGCAGCAGACACAGCTCTGCCTGTGAAAAGAATGTGAGTCAGTCCCCAAGCTTTCTGTTCTTTGGTAGTTGAACTCTTGTCTTCCATGACAAAATCTCACTGTGTGTTGCAAGGGCAGCAGCTGACCCCAGACTCCCCGAATATGGAGCAGTGGCATCACGGGCTAGGGTCATCAGTGAGCAAGCAGCCAGGGCCACTTGAGGGGCTGCTGTTGGACCCTGGTGGACACATTCTTGGAATTGCTGGCAATGGGGCTCTGCCTAGAAAGGAGGTATGAACTCTGTAGATCTGTATTCAGACGTTTGACTAACTTGCAGAGCATGTGGTTGGCCTCTGGTTCTTTCTTTCAGCCAAAGAATGATGGGTTTTGAAAATTTTGAACCTGAATTTCCAAGCACAAATGCCTTGTAGCATCAGATGCCCTACATTTAGAAGCACGTTTGTGTCAATACAAAGAGAGGGAGGGTAGTGACCGCAGGAAAATGATCGGAATTTGGGTAAGGTAATTTAAAGAAATAAACTGAGAATTATTAGAGATTGCTATCAAACTTCAAATCAGAAGGGAGCTAAAGAGGAAGCACTTGTTAGGCAGATAATAAGATGACAAAGCCTCAAAATACGGCACTCACTGATCTTAATTACCGAGCTATCTGCTGGGTGTTTAATCAGTAGCACATATACTATGCTAATTATTCTGGCTAATTTTGTTATAATGTAATTCTTTATCAGCCCCGCTATGTATAAATGAGGAATTGAAATGTAACTAACACAAATTATATTTAAGGCAACACGAATTTCTTTATTTCAATGTGAAATCTTCTGATCTCTATTTCTTTGTCTTTCCTTTTTTGATTAGTTCATGGGACCCCCTACTGCCCACCCTGCCTCAGTCCCCCACTGGCTGAACAATCATTTGAGGGGGAAGGGACGCAGTATCAATATTTCCCCCTTAACTTCTTGGAAGTCTTGTATTTGACTTTCTCCTTCGCTGACTGTCCTTGAAGGTGCAGAATATATTTAAGCAATCAATAGCAGAGGGATCCTGGCTTTCTCTGAATCAGATAAAGGTCGCTTCATTGTTCTGCTTGGATGTTTAAATGCTCATCAGAGGGTACCATAATTCACAGATTTTCAGTGATATATTGTATGTGATTTACATCAAGTTATGTTTACAAATGTGTTTAGATGAGGACTCTGGTAACAGATCCTCATAGAGAAGCATAAACATTAGCTAGAATTCTGTTGCGTCATGCAGTTTGCATCCGGTGAGCCTGGCATAGCTGTGCAGAGCCCGGTAGCATGCCTTCAGAGACCACCAGCCTTGGAACTTTTTCTCTGTCAATGCTCTTGGTATTGAACTATTTTGCAGCAAGATAACAATGCCTGATGAATAAATGAATACAGTGTGGGTCTAATTTAGTCTCAGCCCCGTGTTAGGATGAAAATCAGTGAGTCGGTTGCCAATGGAGGGTCATGGTCTGGGAGAAATGGTCAGTCCCAGATACGCAGACCCCATTGTGACCTCAGGTCAGGGACAAACACCGGGCATATCCAGGTTAACTCAAAGTGACTGTGGCATAATTCCGCTGTGAAGTGGGTCCAATTCTGAGACTGGCTGCTTATTTGAGCCTGAAAGGCCCCTGTTAGATCCTGAGGTCCTGGAGAGCTGTTCCTTCAACACACGGGTTCCCCGTAGGTCAGCCCCCAAGTGCTCTTGGCTCAAACCTCACCGTCCAATCCAGCTGTGGACCCTATCAGCTCGGGGCTGGTCCGGGGCTCCCTTCCTGGCCGTGGTGTTTCCATCCACCTCGGGCTGTTCTCTCCTCTTTCCCGTCCCCGCAGTCCGGCTCTCCCAGTTCCCAGCTTCAGCAACACAGAGGTGTCTCCCTGGGATCAGAAGCTTTTCAACTCGGTGGAAGATTTTTCTAAATTCCTTTTTAAGGGGTTCCTCATAGCTTTTCAGGCTTGACAGTTTCAGCCAAGACATATGTGTGGTGGGAAGGGCTCACGCATCAACCTGCTAGGCTGTGGGGAACTGCTTTGTGAAGGGGCTTTGTTACGTGGTCTTTATGGGCAGCAATTCATGCACACAGAAAACAGGGGCCACTTTCATTTCCTTTGTGTCCTTGAAACAACGTGATGGCATGTGGGCACTAGCTAGATGTGATAAAAGCCCTTTACAACTATTGCCTGTTTTTTTTTTTTTTCTTCCTGTTAGGGGCATGATTTATGATGACACAAGGATGAAGTTATACAGCTGGAGATGTGGACATTTTCCATTAGTATAGCCATCAAAGGCAAAAATAACAAACAAATGAGTTTCACTCAATAAACACATTTTTGAAGCAGAATTTAATTATTTATTTTTATTACTTTTTTATTGAAGTATAGTTGATTTACAATGTTTCAGGTGTACAGCACAGTGATTCAGTTATACATATCTCTATCTGCATCTGTATCTACATCTATTCTTTTTCAGATTCTTTTCCATTATAGGTTATTACAAGACATTGAATATAGT